ATGCCTTGAACCCAGGAGTTAGAGGTTTGCAGTGAGCCGAGATCTAGACTGGGTGACAGAGCGAGACTCAGTCTCAAAAAAAAAAAAAAAAAAATATATTAACTTATTTAATTCTCAAAACAGCCCCATGTAAGAGGGCTGTAAAATTACTCCCATTTTACAGGTAAAGAAGCAGGTTAAGTTCTTGTCCAAGGTTGCTAGCTGTTGGCAGAGCTAGAATTTGGTCCCTAGCAGACTGGCTCCAAAGACTGGAAAAATATAAATCATTAATGGTGGTTGTATCTTAGGAGGTAGAATTAAATGGGAATTTTGTTGTTGTTGTTGTTGTTACTTATTTATGTAAGATTTGCCTTTTTAAAGACAATAAATGTTACCTTTTGGGCATACACAAAAAATGAAAAGAATAAAGAAGTAAAAATGCTATCCTGTTCACTGGCTAGACACAGAATAATTTCAGTTAAGAGTAGTGTGGTACCAGGCTGATGGTTCATACCTGTAATCCCAGCAATTTGGGAGGCCAAGATGGGAGGATCACTTGAGCCCAGGAGTTCAAGACCAGCACTGTCAACATAGCAATACCCAATCTCTACAAAACATAAAATAGCTGGGCATGGTAGCATGCAAGGAGGCTGAGGTGGAAGGATGGTTTGAGCCTGAGAGGTTGAGGCTGCAGTGAGCAATGGTTGTGCCACTGCACTCCAGCTTGGCTGACAAAGTGAGACCCTGTCTCACACACACACACACACACACACACACACACACACACGCGAAAGGAAAGGAAAAGAAAAAGAAAAACAATATTGTGGATCTATCATCGCATTCCCTTTTGCCAGACTTACTTTTATTTTCTCTTCACAGAATATTTCCAGAAGTGTCTTCGGGGATTCAAGTAAGCCTGGGAGTTGGGAACTCTTCGAGTTTGAAGCTTTATTGACTGCTCTAAGTTTCAGAGAAAAAAAGTAACTCAACCACATGGCTGAATTTCCACAGTTGGTTGGAGGCAGAGCCTTTACTGTTCCTCTTTGATTCAGCCAGGGCCTCTAGCAGAGGTGAGGTGGCTACGCACAAGAGTGCTTCTTATAAGAGTCAAGACTGGGAACAGAGCCTATCACAGATACTTCTGGCCCACTAAAAGGACACTTGAAAGTAAGCCCAAGGTGGCTTCAAGGCCTTGAATAATTTTATGTTGCCAAGACAATGACCAAAGAGAAAGCAAAGCAAGCCAAGCCAGCACCGGACCCCATTCTTCTGACTTTAACGTGCACCTGACTCCCAGACTGTCAGATGCTGGAGACTAGCTTTTTTTTTTTTGGTTTTTTTTGTTTTTTTTTTTTAATATTTCACTTGATAAAAGTAAAACATGGCGGCTGGGCACAGTGGCTCACACCTATAATCCCAGCACTTTGGGAGGCTGAGGCAGGAGGATCCCTAGGAGCCAGGAATTCAAAACCAGCCTGGGCAACACAGGACCTCTTTTTTTTTTTTTGAGACGGAGTCTCGCTCTGTCACCCGGGCTGGAGTGCAGCGGCGACATCTCGGCTCACTGCAAGTTCCGCCTCCGGGGTTCACGCCATTCTCGTGCCTCAGCCTCCGGAGTAGCTGGGACTGGAGTAGCTGGGACTGCAGGGGCCCTCCACCACGCCCGGCTAATTTTTTGTATTTTTAGTAGAGATGGGGTTTCACCATGTTACCCAGGATGGTCTCGATCTCCTGACCTCGTGATCTGCCCGCCTCCGGAAGTGCTGGGATTACGGGCGTGAGCCACCGCGCCGGGCTACTTTTTTTTTTTTTTTTTGTGAGACAGAGTCTTGCTCTGTCTCCCAGGCTGGAGTGCAGTGGTGCGATCTCGGCTCACTGCAACCTCCGCCTCCTGGGTTTAAATGATTCTCCTGCTTCAGCTTCCCAAGTAGCTGGGATTACAGGCGCCCGCCACCATGCCCAGACAAATTTTATATTTTTAGTAGAGACGGGGTTTCACCACATTGGCCAGGCTGGTCTCGAACTCCTGACCTCGTGATCCGCACACCTCAGCCTCCCAAAGTGCTGGGATTACAGGCGTGAGCCACCATGCCCGACCGGGAAGACCCCATCTCATCTCAAGGAAAGGAAAGGAAAGGAAACGAAAAAGGGAAGGGAAGGAAAAAGGGAAGGGAAGGAAAAAGGGAAGGGAAGGGAAGGGAAGGGAAAAGGAAAGGAGGAAAACATGATTACAGAATATAAAGCTCAGTAATAACATCACTACCCTGAGATAACCAGTTTTGATATTTTAGTACATTTCCTTCTAGTCTTTTTAAAAAGTTCATATATATAATACGTTAAATATATACATACCTATTTCAAAATTTGGACCACACTATACATATAGTTTTGTATCTTTTTTCCCACTTAATGTTATATTGTAAACATTTTCTCAGACAAAAGATTGTTTGAAAAATAATTTTTAGTGGCAACATAATACCTCAGCATATGGATGTGACCATCTTGAACTTTTTTTTTTTTTTTGAGACGGAGTCTCACTCTTGTGCCCCAGGCTGGAGTACAATGGTGTGATCTCGGCTCACTGCAAGCTCCACCTCCTGGGTTCAAGCCATTCTCCTGCCTCAGCCTCCCGAGCAGCTGGGATTACAGGCGCCTGCCACCACACCTGGCTAATTTTTTGTATTTTTAGTAGAGACAGGGTTTCACCACGTTGGCCAGACTGGTCTCGAACTCATGACCTCAGGTAATCTACCCACCTCGGCCTCCCAAAGTCCTGGGATTACAAGCGTGAGCCACCGTACCCAGCTGTGATCATCTTTATTTGAATAGCTCAGGGTGTCTTTACCAGATCTAGGGATAGCAGAACAAATTCAACGAAGGGTTCATTTCTGCCTTTCCTATTAACTGCAGGAGAGAGACTGCAGGGCACCACTAGGGGTCAGTGCAGAGCCATCATCACAGGAGCCTTTACTGTGCCTTATAGTAAGCATGTCTTGATGTAAGATAATTGGTTATGCAACAGTCCATATTAATAAAGATTCTATATATTACATTAGAGATCTATTCACATGACTAGCCATGTTCCCTTTAAGAGCAGACTCCCTTAGTACAGACTTCTCAGATTATAAGTGATAAGATTCCGCCAAATTAATTTCCAAAACAGAGCTATTTTATAAGCCAAAGTCTATCAGTATAAGATGTGGTATTAGACCTGTTCTTACCTGCTTGGTATGAGATCATCTGTGCATAAAATACTTAGTGAAAGTGTTTTATAGGTTTGTTGGAAAAATCAAATAAATAACATGTGAAAGTATTTTATAAATTATGAAGCTGCATATAAACGCAAAGTTGCTCTTTTTTAATAAGCAATTCAGATATTTGGGCAAGTGGCATAACCATGGATTATTTCACTGGTTTTCTTTCTCGTAGCCCGTGTTCTCCAGCTATTGACATCACTGTGGAGTCAGTAATTCTTTTCCTAGAAGCTAAAGCTATCATTTACAGTAAATTTTGTTTTAGTTCTTTGCCATCCTTATTTACCTAAGGCTCCTTCAGGAAAATTACTCTGAGCTCAGAATTAGCTTAAATAACTTATAAATAGGTGTATAACAGGGATCAGAAAGACACTTTAGGCCTAACATACTTGACAGGCTCAGACGCAGGAGGTGGGAGTTCCTGGCCCTTCTAAACTCAGAAGTAACTATTAGTAGCAAAAGGTACCAAGGGCCCTATTTCTCACCGGCCAGGCTTCTTATTCAGCCCTCACTCTTCTTTCTGTTCACGTTTTCTCTTCAGTTCTCAGTGCCACATCATTCGGTATCAGAAAGGAAAAGGATCTAGGGTTGGTTGTTCTCAGAACCAAGCTTTCAAAACCAGCTTGTGGTAGCCCTTCTTGAGAGCAGATCAATCTTCTCATTGGTTCACTCTGACCATTCTCAGGATGCATAGGGACCCAGGCAAAGCAGGCCGTGGCAAGTCCCTTTTTTTTTTTTTTTTTGAGAGACAGAGGCCGGGTGCCGTGGCTCATGCCTGTAATCCCAGCACTTTGGGAGGCCAAGGTGGATGGATCATCTAAGGTCAGGAGTTCGAGACCAGCCTGGCCAACATGGCGAAACCTGGTTTCTACTAAAGATACAAAAATTAGTCAGGGTGGCACGGCGCAGGGCGGTGTAGGGTCGCCATGGCGGAGCTGCAGCAGCTGCGGGTGCAGGAGGTGGTGGACTCCATGCTGAAGAGTCTGGAGAGAGAGAATATCTGGAAGATGCAGGGTCTCATGTTCCGATGCAGCACCAGCAGTTGTGAGGACGGCCAGACCTCCATGCAGCAGGTGCACCAGTGCATCAAAGCACTGCCATTTGCCATGCTTGAGCCAAAGCAAAGCCAGGCTCAAGCCCAGGGTTTGGTCACCAGTGAGTTGGAGAAGTTCTAGGACCACCTGGCCTAGTGCATCATGCATTGCAATGACAAAGTCAAAGATTCAATAGATGCTGGGAGTAAGAAGCTTCAGGTGAAGCAGCAGCTGGACGGTTGTGTGACCAAGTGTGTGGATGACCACACGCACTACATCCCAACTATGACCAAGAAGATGAAGGAGGCTCTCTTATCCACTGGGAAATAACAATCTTTGCCAGTGGCCATTGGGGCTGAGGGCAGGAATATATTTTTTATAAGGAATTGGGAATTTTAGTCTTTTAAGCGAAGTTTATGAAGAAACGAAGGATGGCCACAAGTGTAAGACATATGTCACTTGCCTCTAGGCACTGGTTCTTTTATGTTTCAGTCCTAAAAAATGAAATGGAAAAAAGTGGTACTAAATTGGGTCAGAGATATTACAGTTGAGTTTTAGAGTTTATATGTCCTGTGGCCAGTGCTTGTCCTGCCAGTAAGGATCTCCCCTGTAACAAGCCAGAGCCCTCCAAGGTACCAGACTCTTCTTACTACACAGGTACCAACAGGCTGGCAGGTTAGAGTTGGTGGAGTTTAAGGAGAGATATTTTCTCTTTGTTGCCAATATCCTGTTTACCAGAAGTGTCACCACACCATTTTCTGTAAGTTGTAAAACAAAATTGATGAGGTCACTCACTTAGAAGGGCAAAAAAGTTTTCTGGGTCTTTGTTTTCTTGGTTTTGTGTAATTTATACAAGGCAATACAAGTTGATTTTAAGATGTGGAATTGGGAGGGAGACTAGTTTGGATAAGAACTTGGAAAGGTTCCTTGTGGATCCCCATTTCTGGTCAAGATGTGGATGTACATTTCTTAAAATTATTATATGCCACATCTTTCAGCCTGGAGACCATGCAAAAACATGAGAGGTGACGACACACTAATTATGGGAAGCATAATTACTGGCTGATGGGCCCTGAGGCTGTGTGTAGCAAAATGACAGGAAAATCTTGCAGTAACACTTTCCCAGTGAAGAGAACGGGATTTTGATTGTGATATATACTAGTACCTAGGAATGAACAGTAAAAGAGGAGCAGTTGGCTACTTGATTACAACAGAGTTATGAAGTACTGGATTTGGAAAAACCTGGTTTTTATAGAACGGATGGAACGAAAGCCTAAACCTAGCATTGCCTACTCAGCTCCCTGAATTAACAGAGCACTATTGACACAAATCCCGGCAACAGGAAATTCAAGGGAGAAAACGTAAGCAACTTGGGCTAGGATGAGCCGACTCCCTTAGAGCAAAGGAGAGGCAGACCCCATTACCAAATACCATTTTTGCCTGGGGCTTTCGCAACTTGCAGTGTTCCTGCCCTGGCATGGCACCTTATTCTTTTGATAGCAACCTCATTGTATTTTCACCAACTTATTACTTGAAATGATAATACAGCCTATCATTTGCTGTTTCCAGGCTGTGATATATTTTCCTAGTGGTTTGGTTTTAAAAATAAATAAGGTTTAATTTTCTCCCCTCCCCCCAACAAAAAAATTAGCCGGGCATAGTGGTGCCTGCTTGTAATCCCAGCTACTTGGGAGGCTGAAGCAGGAGAATCGCTTGAACCCGGGAGGTGGAGGTTGCAGTAGCCAAGATCACGCTACTGCACTCCAGCCTGGGTGACACAGCCAGACTCTGTCTCAGAAAAAAAAAAGCAGAGACAGACTCAGCCAGGCACGGCGGCTCATGCCTGTCCCAGCAATTTGGGAGGCCAAGTGTGCAGATCGCTTGAGCTCAGGAGCTCGACACCAACCTGGACAATATAGTGAAACCCCATCTCTACAAAAATATAAATAAATTAGCTGGGCATGGTGGCATGCACCTGTAGTTCTAGCTACTTGGGAGGCTGAGGTGGAAGGATTACTTGAGTCCAGGAGGTCAAGGCTGCAATGAGCCGAGATTGTGCCACTGCTCTCAGCCAGGGCAAGAGTGAGACTCTGCCTCAAAAAAAAAGACAAGAGTTCTCACTCTGTCACCCAGGCTGGAATGCACTGGTGCAATCATAGCTCACTGTAGCCTCAAACTCCTGAGCTCAAGTGATCCTCCCACCTCAGCCTCTGGAGTAGATGGGATTATAGGTGTGAGCCACTGCCAAGTCCCTTATCACTGGCACTCGCTTTCCAACTAGGCTAGAACCTTAAGCTGTTTGGTGAAAGAAGGGCACAGAAGTCACACAAAGAGAGCAACAGATGATTGCACAGCAGCTCACACTGCCCTGGGGCAGCTCCAATAAAGAGCAGGCCTGTGTTGAGGTCCTACCTTCCAGAGCAGGATCTAACACAGGATACCAGTTGAATAGCTTATGTTCTAGATAAGTACAATTCTTGCTGCATAGCTAGTGTTCCAGAAATATTAGTTGCATGAATGAATGACAGGTTTAGGTCATAAGACCAGCATTAGACCATGGAGTGCCTGGATACAACTACATTTCTATGGCCAATCAAAAAAATAATCCTGGGACTGTAGTAGTAGAGCTAAGCCTAGGGACTTGAAAGTTAGTCCAGAGGATCCCAACAGCTGGACACAAACTCAGGAAGACTCAAGAGCCATACAACAGCAATGCAGCAACCAATAATCACTGTTATTATTAACAGCAGTTTCTAGTACATAGTGCCTCAGGGCACTTACAATTCCCACAGAGGCCAGCTACCCAACATCAGAGTCTGACCAGCTGGGGGGTCCTGCCCTGCATCCAAGAGGGTGTCGGGACACTCATCCAGGTGGCTCTGAGACAGTAGCAGAGCTGACAAGGAGGCCCTACAAGTGAGATTCCTTTGGCTTCAAGGTCACAAGTCCTGGCTTTGGGCCTCCTGGTCTGCTGAGCCTCCCACCGGCTTTACTCTCAGAGATTGCTGCAGAAGCCTGTGTGCTGGAATGGGCTGCCACATTTCTAGGAAGGAACCCAGGAGCACATATAGCCTGGTTATTCAATGTTGTCATAGACGTGAATCACATCCTCGTGGTTGCCGAGAGCCTGGATGAGATGAGCAGCCTGTTCCAGGTCGGGCTCGGCCAGCTGCACCTTTGAGTTGGGGATGAACTCTAGTGCACAGGACACAGAACACAGGCCCAGGGAGTCCAGTTTCTTCCTCACTTGGTGCAGTGAAGAGGCATCACAAATAAACTAGGGATAAAGGAAAATCAGGAGGTGAGGAGCCAGGAGGTAATGAGACAAAGCAACACAGGACCTTGCAAAGTCCTGAATGTCAGTACTGGAATGGATCGCTGGGTTTGAGATCTTCACTGGCAGGGACATAATTTTCAATGTTTTGACTCTTTTTCATAGTCATCACGAGAGTCGGACCTATTCAGTATTCACTCAATAAATGTTTGTACGATATGTGAACTCTTTGTCTCATCCGTACCCTGGGGCACAGGAAGGAAGAAACCAAGAGGCATGTGTAAGGCATCTATCGTGGTCCTCCCGGCAGCCCACCAAACACCCATGTTTTCATGCTTACTTTAAAAACGTTCCTTTCTTCTTCGTCTTCAGTTTCCTTGACATCCTCAGCTCCTGCTTCAATTGCCAGCTCCAGGGCACGCTCTAGATTCACAGCCTTCTTCTCTCTGTCCTCCACTCCAACCACGATCACCCCCTTTTTGTCAAAAGAGTGACGAGCTCCTTCAGCCATCACTCCTCTGACAGGGAAGGAAACAGGCTGGCATGAGTGGATGCCTCTAGACACTCAGCCTCCATAAAGCTCATCATTCTATATCACTGTCTCTTTCTCACTCAGTCTATGGAGTACACACAGACATGGAGCAGATCGCTTCCTCAAGGAGAAAATGCAGCTGCTGCTGGATAAGGGAACAGCCCAAGAATGTTCCCACGCTCAATTTTCTGCCCTGATTGCAGTCTGGAGGAAGCAGACTTTGCTCATCATTTCCTGTGCCATTAAGATGCCAGTCCTAGTGGAGCATTTTAAGATTTGGGCATTATATGGCTACAGATGGGGATAATAGGACAAAGATCCCCTTTCTACACCAATGAACAAGTCTTTGGGATTCTGCTAGTACAGACAACATTAAGGGAAAGTCAATAAACTCACTGGATTCTGCTAAGGAGGAAGTGTGCTTAAAACCTGAAACATGGCCAGGTATGGTGGCTTCCAGCACTTTGGGAGGCTGAAGCAAGTGGATCACCTGAGGTCAGGAGTTTGAGACCAGCCTGGCCAACATGGTGAAACCCTGTCATCTCTACTAAAAATACAAAAATTAGCTGGGCGTGGCTGTGGGTGTCTGTAATCCCAGCTACTCAGGAGGCTGACGCAGCAGAATCACTTGAACTCAGAAGGTGGAGGTTGCAGTGAGTCGAGATCATGCCATTGCACTCTAGCCTGGGTGACAAGAGTGAGACTCCATCTCAAAAAACAAAAAACAAAACCCTGAAACACTAGCAGAGATCAACAGTACTTGCCTTGCAGAGAATTGGAACATAAAGGCTCTGTCCCCTACCACTCCCCACAGACACACACTTACCCATTCTTATTCAGGATATGTCTAATGTCTGATTGACACTTGTGGCCACTGTTAGATAATGCCTCGATGAGCAGAGAAGAGCCACCAGGGCCCCGACACGCATACAGCAAATACGTGTCCTTGGTTTTCTGCAATAAACAACACAAGCACATTTTCCTGTTTCCCAATTCCCTCCCACATGTCAGCCCAGAACCACAAGTATTGCAAAACTAACTTCATGGGATGGGCTCTCTAGGCTGGAGCCTGAGCTCTCAATCTTTATTTTTGTCCCCACCCTCTGAGAGGAAACCCTAGAACCAACTTTTGAGGTAACGGGAAGTACTACCCCTAACTTGGAAGGAGTGTTTCTCTGGTCCCTGAACAATCCATCAGCCCTTCCTCAGCTTTGCTTCCTACCATCCCTAACCAAATGCCACATCTAGTCCCCACCCACTCCCACTCAGACTCATCCTCTTACACTCCCATCCTGTAAGAAACCCACCGGTCAAGTCTCAAGGCTCCTACCCTGGGCTGCTGAGTACTGCTGTGAAAAATCACACACCTAGGCCTTGTCATAAGAGCTGCTGAAAACAGCATGGTCTCAAAAATCAAACAATTAATCCAGAGCTCTAGCGACTAATCTCTTCTGGACCTTCCATGCCCCTACTCATCCCTTGTCCATGTATTCAATATTCCCCACTCCAAGCACCCTGTCCTGCAACTTTCCAGGAATTCTTAACTCGTAACTTCTCCCTTCCTCTTTCACAAAGGAAAAAAGGGCCACTAGGTGGGGAAAATAGTTGCTGTCTCCACCTCCTTCTCTGCACCACGGCCTACGTGAAGGCAGTAAGCATAATGGTTAGAGCACAGGCTCTAAAGTCTGACTATCTGGTTTCAAGTCTGTCATTTTCTATGTGACCTGAGTCAAGTCACCTAACCTTTCTGTGCCTCAATTTCTACTTACGGTGGTTTTCAGGATTCGATGAGATAACACACACACAGTTTTTATCCATGCTTAGCCTGCAGGAAGCACTCAATAACTATGGTCTATTAAGATAACTATTACTTCCTCAGAGCCTCCCTACCTGCCCCAGAGAAAGGTGTACCCTCATGTGGACTCTATATACCTGCCCCTCCCACCATCTCTATCACCCCTACCCTCTCTCTTTCTACTGGCTTTTCTCCTTTAGGGTATAAACATCTGAGAAACAAAACCTTCCTCAACCTAACATAAGGGCTTTCTCCCACACTGCCCCTTCTTTCTATAATACCTCATCTCCCTACAACTTGGCTGAGCAGTCCCGGGCTGTATGGCCCTGCATGCTGCCTATGCATCCTACTCCCAGTTGTGCCCCTAGAACAAATGACCAAGGACAGTGAGCTCCCAGAAGCCTCTAGGCTGAGGGCATCAACTACATTGCTACCCTTCTCTCTGATAATTTTTTTTTTTTTTTTTGAGACAGATTCTCGCTTTGTTGCCCAGGCTGGAGCGCAGTGGCGCGATCTCGGTTCACCGCAAGCGGTGCCTCTTGGGTTCAAGCAATCCTCCACCTCAGCCTCCCAAGTAGCTGGGATTATAAGCATGTGCTACCATGCCCAGCTAATTTTTGTATTTTTAGTAGAGATAGAGTTTCACCGTGTTGGCCAGGCTGGTCTCCAAACTCCTGGCCTCAAGTGATCCACCCACCTTAGCCTCCCAAAGTGCTGGGATTACAGTCGTGAGCCACTGCACTTGGCCCTCTCTGATAATTCAAGGTGTGTTTGGTGGCTATCTAGACATGAGCCCTGTAGGGGCTGTGATCAATAAAAAGCATGTCAAACAGTACGCACCTCCATTTTCAGCGCTGCCTCAATCGTTGACTTGGGCATATGTTTGCTGCGACACACCTCTAAAATATTGGCCAGGTTGCTGTTGTGCTCAGGGTTGGGGCCTCCTTCTGAGATTTAAAGAAAAAACAAAGAGTGAGCAAAGACATCTCATTACAACATGGGAGAAAAAAAGGGATTTCCAGCCCCACCA